GAAAAAAGCAATACCAAGTTTACAACAAATATTTAACGACAAATATAAAAACAGTGGTATATGTGAGAGTTTGTGTGCATACGAGTTATCTGGTATGTAAATGAGGTTTTCCTTTTATTAAAAAAAAAAAACTTCATTTTGATGTTTCTACGAAATGATTTTACGAAAACATCAGTGTCCGTTTTTTGGTTTTAACATTTATAACAGAGTACAAGATTTACCGCTTTTGGCAGGTGATACTGCTGATTTAGTAATAAATACGCATGTTTCCTAAAGTTTTTATGCATTAATGAACTCATTTAAACCAAGGAAATGTTCATGAAAAGCTTGAATAAATTCTGTGCACCGGTAAAAAAAAATTGCTAAAAATCCGGGACCATCGGGCGTCCGGACGACTAGATTTACCGCTTGCCGTTAGTATGCAGAGTTGTCGATCGTATCTTTTTCAGTGTATGACGCCACACAAAAAATGAGTTCCATTACGAAAAACTTTTGCGGTTCTTTATAATTTAGTTTTACTTTGAACGAAATCTAATATTCAAAATAAGATTACTTTATCATTTTTACATTTACTTACATTTCAAAATATGAAAATTAGATCAATTCAGGAGAAAATTACATGAACTATTTGTGGCGGATGTTTATGCATGTTTTCTATTGAATATCATCGGAGTAAATCAGCCGACACAGTAGCCTCGTTTTCGGCTCTATATAATCAACACAAATTACTGCGCATGTTAAATACGTGATGACCATTGGAGATTGAACATAGTTCAACTCCCAAAAATGGATTGACATGATTCGCCAAAGACAATTGTATTCCCAAACTCTACGACAGCTGACCAAAGCTCTACATTTGGAGTGGGAGAGTATTCCTATACAGTTTTTATTTCACATATTTGCTTCCATTTGATGCCGTTTGTGGCTATCATTTGTATCTGCGAGGGGCATACCAGATATTGATCTTTAATGACCTTAAATGACTATGATTTTAAAATTCTTGAGTAATTATGACATTTAGATAGTATTCCTGTTGTTAAACACATTTCTGTATTATCAGTAAATCATTTTACTAAATAGTCTTTATGTTTAGCGTGTCACTAAAATTCTACCATGCGTTTCTTTTTTTGAAGAGTATATATATATTCCACTCTAGTAGTGTCAACCCTGTAACAGAAAATATTCATAGAATTACATAGTTATCTGCTCCTGATTTAGCTTGTAATAAATATAACATCTAGAACCAAAGGCTTTTGAAGATCAATTTTAAAGAAATCATCATCTTTTTAAATCTCTTCTACTTCATGGATTCCACAGTTATTTTATAACTTCTTAAAACTTCCCTTTTCTTATTCTTTGGGACTTTGACAATACTCGTTGAGGTGAGCTGTATAATTTCTGATTACCTATGCTAATAAAATGAAAAACAATTTCGTAACTCAATTTAGCGTTGAGGGTTGGGATATCGATTGACAAAGAATTGCGAACGATAGTATTGTTCTGCCTTTTAGTCAATTTTCAAAATTAATATGTTTGAATGATTTCTTTTTTTATTTTTATACATCTGATATATATCTAAATGAATTTATCTGAATTTTCATATTTTTTGCAAGTTAGATAAACGTTAAAAAGTGGATTATAACGCTGGTATTTTTCATGTTTTATTACAGTGTATATTCTATTTAGCGTATAATTACCTCTTAAACATAAAAAAAAAATATCTTTTATTTCGGCATCATGTACTACTCTGAAAAGTAGATTAAAGGTAAAGGTCAAGGATTACTAGGTCAATGACCATGGTAATTTACAAAGATCATAGTGCCAATGAATATACATGTATGTGCAAAATACATGTATCAAATCTATACCTCTTATAATTATCATGGTATCGGGTATGAGAGACGGACGGACAGACACTGTTCTTACAAGAGATACTGTAGGGTTCTTTATGCTTATTTTCCAGTTTTGGGGGTTATTTTTATGCTCCTTCATGAATATGGCCGGGGCATATAATAGAGTTTGTCATGTCCGTTTTCCATCCTTCTCTCTTTTGTCAAACTTGATTTACGTTTAGCTGAGTTCAAAGCTTTCTATCAAACTGATATTCTGATAGATATTGATGAGAGTAATTCAACTGCAGCAACAGATTTGGACCTTGACCTTGACTTTGACCTTGACCTCACTTTTCTAAAATAAGCGTTTATCTCAGCTTCAAAGAATCCGTTCAAGATAATGTATTTAAACTTCATATGTTGAGATATATAGAGAATAATACATACTCTTTTCCATATCACATCCTGTATCAACCCGAGACACCAATATCAGCCAGAGGGCCAAAGGCCCGAGGGCTGATAAGGATGTGATGTGGAAAAGGGTATGTTTTATTATGTTTATTACATACTTAGTTATAAAATACAGTACACATAAGCTGAGACGAAAATAAGTAAATATATGTAATCATACACGGACTTCTTACATGTACACGGTCTATTGTTTCATTCGGTTTGGGCTTGTTTCTACATGTGCTTCTATCTCAAATGTGCCGGACCCGTAATTTGAAAATAATCTATCATTTGTCAATTAATTAAGAGAATAAGTAATCCCCAAAATATGTGTATGACCACAAGTACTGCTTTTTTTTTAGGTTTAATTTTCTAGGGGTGTGATATTCATCCATATCAGCCCCGCAAATCCATATCAGCCCTGCAGTGATACGGCTATTGTGATGTCATGCATATCACATATGCAAAAATCCTGTATTTATTACTAAGTATGTAATAAATTGAAGTGAGCTGTTCAATTGCATCAGCAGAGTTTTTATCTTGACCTTGCCTTTGACCTTGACTTCACTTTTCTTAAATGCCTTTGACCTTGACTTCACTTTAATTAGTGTCGAGCTCATTTTTAAGGAAACCATTTATGATATTTTATCAAACTTAATATGCTGATACATACTGATGAGGGATGTTAACTGCATCAACATTTTTTATCCTAATTTTTCCTATGATGTTGACATTAATATTTTTTAAATTAGTGTTTAGCTCAGTTTTTGTTAAGATACCGGGTACCTTTTAGGACAGTCAAACTTAATATGCTGATAAACACTAATGATAGCTAATCATTTGTATCAACATTTTTTTTTACCTTAACCTTTCCTATTTGACTATAGCCTCATAAACACTAATGTTAGCTAATCATTTGTATCAACATTTTTTTTACCTTAACCTTTCCTATTTGACTATAGCCTCACTTTATTCAAATTAGTTGTTTAGCTCAGTTTTCAATAAACAATTCAGGATAGCGTTATCAGACTTCATATGCTGAAACATACTGAAGTCAGCTATCCAACTGCATTAACATTTATTACCTTGTCCTTTGTCTTGACTCTGACCTTACATTTATTAAATTAGTGTTTAGCTCATTTTAAAAAAATCATACTTTTATCAAACTTTAAATTTTGACCTTGACCTTTCCTTTGGCCTTGATATCACATTTCTTGAATTCATTTTTAGCTTATACTTATTCAAATCATTCAAGATATTTTTTTTATCAAACTTAATAATTATGTTGATATGTTCGTGTTAGTGGGAGCTATTCAAATGCACCAAAACGTTTAACCTTGCACTTTTCTATGGCTTTGACGTCCATTTCCTTTTATCTCTTGTTTAGTTTTAAAGAAACCATTCAAGATATCTTTGTATAAGCTTATGCACTAATACATAACGTTGGTGAGAATTTGTCATCTCTAAACACTTTTTTTAGATTTCAAATTCCATTTTAGAGAAACTTTTCAAGATATTCTCATCAAATGCCATAATCTTATACAAATTTTCATGTTGCATTACTTATATACATATATCTACACTCGCCAGGGCATTCATGTCCAATGAATATTTTTCTAGTTATGTTGTGGAGTCAATCCCTCAATAACAGGGTTTATTCATGCTGAGTATGACAAACGAGGTTAAAAAAATATATCCCATGTGGTTTTAAAGACAGTAAAGGACATAAGGAACTCCACACTGAAATTCAGCCCACTCGGTATTACAAATGTGTACTAAAAGCTGCAGTATGAAAGAATGTACAGAAAATCATTTTGACATTCACCAACAATAGACTTGACTACCAAAAAAAATATTCAGACGCCAGGTAACGTTATTCCTAAGTGTCGGTTCTGCAGACGACACAGTACTAAATAATTGTTTCTTAAAATTTTAATTAATTATTCATAGGAGGATTTGGAACCAATTTTTTTTTTATATTAAGATTCTATTGCAGTCTTTCATGTATGCTCATTTGCTTTACACCATATGTGCGAACTATCAATTTTCTCTCTTTTCTTACATATAATTTAACATATGTCTTGCACTGGAATAAACAGGTAGAAAATACATATCAGAGAAGAATGTATACTGTTGTATTGGATAGAAATAATTAAGGAGGAATACTGCTTTCTGGAAAAAAAAGTTCAACGACACTACCTCAATTGATAGGTCAACAATCTACTGTTCATGGAATCCGGATTAGAATTTTGCGAACCGATCCGTTGCAGTTTTCCCCTTTCGTTTTTTCAGATATGGATTGATAATCTTAGTTTTTTCTTATATTCAAGTATAAAACACTTCAGTTTAATACAATGTTATTATCTTTTGGCTCGAAAAATAAAAGCATACCTGATATGAAGCGATTTTTTTTCAGTATATTGGTGATTTAGATATGTCTTGGTCGTAGGAAAAGAGATGGGAGCTGGAGACCGTCCCAAAATAAATTTGCTTGCCAATATATAGTGTACTGTTGATAAAAAAAAATTACGTTATGGGTGTGCTCCCTAAATAATTACGATTTCTGACTTTCATTTTTTGCTTGTCAAAGAATTTTGCTTATACTCCATCCAAACTGAAAATGTTTCCTATGGGACTGAGACAATTTATTTAAGGAGTCAAGCTAGGTTATTCAATAGTTTCTTCTTTTCTTTATATAACTTTTTTTTTACATTTCAGTCTGCATACCCGTCGATATTTTTCACCATGATTATCCTACAAGAGAGAGATTCTGCAAATACGTCGAAACATGCACAGGAATGGAACGAGAGCAACTCTCCTTATGTGAACTAAGCTTAAACAGCTTGCTTGGGGCATTTTTTGTCAATGAAAATACAGAAAAACCAAACGGTACCTTTATTTATTAAAGTTGATACCTTAAATAATTTTCAATTGTGAAGTGAAAATTTAACAAATTGATGTTAGGTATTTTGTTTTCTCGCAATATGCTAGATGTTATTGTATATATGGGTTCCTAGATTGTATGACCTCTGTTCTGTTCATATCTCCTGTTACATTAAAAATATACAGTATATTTTTCTTTACTCGTTCTCTGCTGACGAGGTTATATAATAATATGTACCAGATTTTAGTGACAAATCCATCACTTCACATGAACAGATGAAGGTCTAGGAAATATTTCACAAATCAATAAGCAATAGGGTACATGAAGTGTAGTATATGCACCTGGTAATACTGTGTCAGTGGTTCAAGTTTGACTTTTAAGTACATGTTTTAGATCAGAAAACTCTTCACCTGTCACTCAAGAAATGGAGTATACTGATAGTCATTCTAATGTCAACTGATTACTGCTTGTACTTACACAAGAACTGGAAAGAAAGATTTGAAGAAATTCAAAAAGCATTCCCAACGTTACAAGACGATGTTGCTGATGAGAAAAATGAGGTTGTCAAAGAATTAATACAGAAAGACATTGTCCTCAAGGAAGAAAAGAAGGAAAACTGTGTGAGATTTTTATCTGATGATATCCGTCATCAGGTGGCCAGCTACTTTATCAAGAATTGTTTAAAAACTCAGAACGACTACAAGAATTATATCAAATTGTCCTCAGTGGATTCTTTGTTGGAGTATGTCCGCACTTGGTGGTATAGAAGAGATGAGAATGAAAGATGTTTATATTTGCCAGTGAAATTGGAAAAGTTGTTTGTAAAAAGACTTGGCGTTGATACTTTAAGGCACATTGTTTTGAAGAAAGGAATAGAAAGCAGTACGACCAGGTCTAGCTCTGATAGAGATCAAAGGGGATTTAATGAATTTCGAGATAAAATATTGAAATATGGTAAGTTTATGCTATAAACAAACAGATACAAATTTTGAAAGATGAAGATTTAATAATTCTTTTTCTAAAATTCTAAATTTAAGCCTTTCGAATGTACCAAAGGAACCCAAGAACCAAGATGATTTTACTATTTAAAAAAGGCTTTATTTTAACCCGTTCATACAGTTATATTGCGACAAGCTACCTATAATTCGTAATAATTCGATATATGTGGAATTTTTGCCAGGAGTATAGTTGTTTGAACAATTTTCATCTGAACTTTTGTTTTCTAAAGATTTATAATCATGCTGATGAAATAATGTAAGAGATTTTTGCAACATGCACAGTCTTTTGTAAACAGAAGTATTGTCTTAGAGCACTTTTATTTACATTACAGGGAGGATGCCCAATGATGTACTTAACCTTGATCATTTGACAAGAGAAAGATTTTGCAAATTTGCCAGAGCAATTATTGACCCAAATCCCATTTCGATAAGAGCCTTGAGTTACAATAGCTTACTCGGATCTTTCTTCATTGATGAAAATACCTCCAAACCTGACGGTAAGTATAGGTTGATGAAACTAATTGCACTTTACAAATTGTTGTTTATAAGTATCTAAATACTAGTAGTGAGTTTTTAGCTCGACTGGTCAGAGTCCAGAAGAGCTTAGGCGATAGTAAGGTGTCCGTCCGTCTGTCTGTAAACAATTTTTCAAAATGCTACTCCTCCTAAAGTTTTGGTCTGATGTCAACGTAACTTGGCACACAAGTATACTACACTAAAAAACATAATTTAGTACATCGGTTTTTGATGTCGATGAAAGATGTTGCCATTGTTGCTTAAAATAGAAATTTCTGTGAAATTCCTTAAATACGCTATTCTTTCTCTATTTTAGGTCTAATTTAAATGTAACTTGGCACACAGGTAGACTACACTAATATCTATAATTTAGTGCATCGGTTTTTAATTTCGATGAACGATATTGCCATGGTTACTTAAATTAGAAATTTCTTTGAAATTCCTGTGTTCCGCTACTCCTTCTCTATTTTAGGTCTAATTTCAATATAACTTGGCACACACTAAGATGCATAATTTAGTGCATCGGTCTTTGATTTCGATGAACGATGTTGACATATATACTAAAAATAGAAATTTCTGTGACATTCCTTTAAAACACTACTCCTCCTACAATTTTGGTCTGATTTGACACTCAGGTAGTCTACACTAAGATACACAATTTTATTTATTGCTGCCTGTTTCAATTCCGAATGCTACTTTGCCTTTGTTATATGTAGAGACCAGTAAAGTTATACATGTAGTCGCATCAGAGACTTCTGGTTGGGATCTCAATTGTGTTTTGCAGTGCAGCTACTAAAGCAGCTTTTTGAATTGATATGCTGTATTTGTTTAAGCATAATTTATGTTTCCGAGCATGTTTTATGCTACCATAATTTTTTTAATTTTTACTGTCGAGACATTTTTAGCAATTTTGCGCTTGCACAAAAGTCAATTAAATGCAAAAAAAAATCTTACTTAGGTTAAATGTAAAAGTTACAGTATGTATGATTACAAATCATACAAACAAATGTTTTGATAAGTCATTCAAAAGAAAATTCGATCTTAAATAATACTATTTTAAACTCAAATAAAGTGGAATATTTTTATACTTTGAGTTTTCATAAGTTTTATTTAATGATTTATCTTTCTTTCGAATAACAGTCTGATTTTTTTTTTTTTTTTTTTTTTTTTTTTCCGATTAAAATTCACTTGGCTTGGTATATTTTTCTAAAGTTTATATAACACACTTAGCACCAATCTAACATATTCTGAAATTTGATTTCATCTGTAAATCTTTATTTGGTGTGTATTGTCCATATTTGTAATTTTATTGAAACATGACTAATATTTTCCAAGTCTATTTTATTTTCCAGTTATTAGGAGAATTTTAAGAATTATTCACATTTCTTAACCTGTTTAAAATATATTTTATTCATATAAAGAAATGGATTGAACAGCAGGCATAAATGCCTATGATCGTTCTCTCCATATTTCTTAACCTGTGACGTGATATTAAGTCTCCTCCAAAGAAAAAAAATTGTTTGTATCATCTGACCTTAATAGAAAAAACAATACCTCTTTTACTTACAATTTATTGCAAAAATAATTTTTGAACTTTCATTTGAATTTACAAAATATTTTTTAAAAAATACTAACGCATAGGATTATGATCCAAAGTCGAAAAATTATATTGGCATTAAGAGTTCTAGATTCAAGATGTATTTAATGAGCTAATTGATGTAACTTTGCAAGAATAGTAATACCTTTGCATTTTGTTCATTTTATGAATAATAGAAAGTTTTCATTTACGTTCTCCAATCTCATCCTCCCAAGATAACATTTTTAGCTCACCTGAGCCGAAGGCTCAAGTGAGCTTTTCTGATCAAAATTTGTCCGTCGTCTGTCGTCGTTGTCGTTGGCGTCGTCGTCGTCTTTGTAAACTTTTTACATTTTCATCTTCTTCTCAAGAACCAATTTCAACCAAACTTGCTACAAAGTATCATGGGGTGAAGGGAATTCAAGTTTGTTCAAATGAAGGGCCACGCCCTTTTCCAAGGGGAGATAATCATGAATTTGTTAAAAATTAATGGCATTTTAAAAAAATCTTCTTCTCCAGAACCGCTGGGCCAGGAAAGATGAAACTCATGTGGAATTATCCTCAGGTAGTGTAGATTCCAGTTTGTTCAAATCATGACCCCCGGGGCTAGGGTGGGGCCAAAATGGCCGACCCTAGTTTTACATAGGAATATATAAGAAAAATCTTTAAAAATCTTCTTCTCCAGAACCACTAGGACAGGAAAGATGAAACTCATGTGGAATCATCCTCAGGTAGAGCAGATTTAAGTTTGTTCAAATCATGACCCCCGGGGCAAGGGTGGGGCCAAAATGGCCGACCCAAGTTTTACATAGGAATATAAAGGAAAAATCTTTTAAAATCTTCTTCTCCAGAATCACTGGACTAGGAAAGATGAAACTCATGTGGAATCATCCTCAGGTAGTGTAGATTCAAGTTTGTTCAAATCATGACCCCCGGGGCAAGGGTGGGGCCAAAATGGCCGACCCGAGTTTTACATAGGAATATATAAGAAAAATCTTTAAAAATCTTCTTCTCAAGAACCACTTGGCCAGGAAAGATGAAACTCATGTGGAATCATCCTCAGGTAGTGTAGATTCAAATTTGTTCAAATCATGACCCCTGGGGCAAGGGTGGGGCCAAAATGGCTGACCCAAGTTTTACATAGGAATATAAAGGAAAAATCTTTAAAAATCTTCTTCTCCAGAACCACTGGACCAGGAAACATGAAACTCATGTGGAATCATCCTCAGGTAGTGTAGATTCAAGTTTGAACAAATCATGACCCCTGGGGCAAGGGTGGGGCCAAAATGGCCGACCCTAGTTTTACATATGAATATATAAGAAAAATCTTTAAAAATCTTCTCAAGAACCACTGGGCCAGGAAAGGTGAAACTCATGTGAAATCATCCTCAGGTAGTGCAGATTCCAGTTTGTTCAAATCATGACCCCCGGGGCTAGGGTGGGGCCAAAATGGCCGACCCAAGTTTTACATAGGAATATATAGGAAAAATCTTTAAAAATCTTCTTCTCCAGAATCACTGGGCCAGGAAAGATGAAACTCATGTGGAATCATCCTCAGGTAGTGTAGATTTAAGTTTGTTCAAATCATGACCCCCGGGACTAAGGTGGGGCCAAAATGGCCGACCCAAGTTTTACATAGGGATATATAGGGAAAACTTTTAAAATCTTCTTTTCAAGTACTTCGAATTCAAAGCTATGATTAGTGATATTTATATGGAATCATCCTCAGGTAGTGTAGCTTCTAGTTTGTTCAAATGATGAATGCTTAGAAGGGAGGGGGGGGGGAAGTAAATTCAAGCCTGATGTGCTCAGGTGAGCGCTGTGGCCCCTGGGCCTCTTGTTTGTTTTTGTGTTTTTTTTCTAATAAAATCTGGACTCAGAATATATTGTTAGCTTTGTTACAACGCACTTTGAAAAATTACGCATTTTGAAATTTTTTTTTCAAAGCGCGTTAAATTTGGGACCAAATTAACGCACTTTGAAAAAAATAAAATTTATTTTCAAAGTGCGTTAATATCGATTATTTTAACGCACTTTGAAAAAATGTGTATGGCTTGGTCAATATTCTTGGAAATCTTGGGTATGATAAATAATTTAACCTGTTTGATAACTCTTCGGTGATGAGGTCACTCCAGGATGTGAAAGTGAGCGATTTAGATTTTTTTATGCTTTGAGAATTATGCAGATCTGTATCTTTATGGTTTTGTAATATGTCATTGACCATAACGCTACAGATCCCGTAATGCAAGAAAGGTGCAATTTACGGCGCAATATTTTGAATTGCATGATATAGGCAGTAACTCTTTATAACTTCTATTTAGAGTATTTTAGATAATGCCATTCTGTTGTCTGTTTTCACTGTTTGTTGTTTTTCTTCTTCTTCATATTGATCTTGAAAGCATGGCATGACTGTAATTTCTATATCATTTGTCTAAGGCCATTTTGATCGATTGTTGATCCAAGCGGATCCATTTATCAACACATGACTCTCCAGGAGTTCTTGGGCTGTGATTCCTTTGGTTTGGAGGTCTGGTGGATTGTGATCTGTTGGGATTTATCTCCATTCAAGTCCTACAATCAGATTGTTGATTTTTTCCCCTCTGTTTGAAATGAATCGCTTCAATTATTTTTTCCAACCAATGTAGAACAATTTAACTATAACGCCATAATGTGACTTTACATAGATGCTTTCAGATGGTTCGCAAGATAGGCTCCTAATACAGCTGCCATGAGTTTCATCTTGGGTGATATGATTAATTTCAGAGGTGCGACTCTATTTTTTGAGATCAGAAGTGTGGAATTTTCTCCATTTACAAGACATATGCAAGCTCCGTATACATTTGAACTTGCATCTGTAAACATGTGCAACCCATTTTCTACTGAATCACTAGTTGGAATGTGTCGTTGGATGTACAGTCTAATGGATTCTTCAAGGTCACTCATCAGAACTTTCCAGTAATCTTAATCTTGATATATCTTGTCTAAGGCATTCAATTCATGTGAAATTCTGTCTCTAGAGGTTTGAATAAAGATATTTGCCTTTACTATAGGTTGATGTAAATTTAATGTGTCGTTGTCTGCCTTCCACTGCATCCCCAGTACATTAACATTCTTTGATTAATCTTCCACTCTGTCTTCTCTGACTTGGTTCATGGGATCTTTATTATTTAAATTCCAGGTTTAAACCTCCCTTGGTAAGTAATTCCCTGGACTCTCTGTTAAATAATAGTAAGTTAGTAACGTTTCGTCATCATTTAAGCTTGTGAGGACATTGTCAAGGGAGAAACTTCCTTTTAGTTCCATTGTTGTTGTAGATGGTTTTTCAGCAAATAATTTCAGCAGGGTTGCATTTAGGATGAATGGTTAACATGTGACTCGATCTCATTGTTCTGGTCCTTGTAATTG